AGCTGCCGGGCCTGCTCCAGCGTGCGCAGGGCCTTGGAGCTGGCGGCGGTGATGTCGGAGTAGCGGGTCTTGATTCCATCCAGCTTCTCCTGGATCAGCAGCACCTCCTCCCCTGCGGGACAGCAGCAAGGGGAAAATGATGCTGGGCTCTGGGGGCTGAAGGAGCCACCCCAGGAGGCTTCAGATGCCAGTTTTTATTGTCTTTCCCCCTTTTAAAGAGCGAATTCCAGCCTCACTTTTCTTTGTGTTCATGCAACCATTTTTAGTAAGAGTTGACATCTTCCACCAGCATGGCGTCCACCTCATCCTGGGGTGGGATGGGATGGGATGGGATGGGATGGGATGGGATGGGATGGGATGGGATGGGATGGGATGGGATGGGAGTGTGCTGCCAAGCCCAGCTTTGCCACAAGCCCCAAAAGCCAGCCCAACTCAGTTCCCATCAACGTGCCACAGCTCCAAGAAAAAAGGGTCAGTTCACCCTTCGCTGCTGTTTCCAAGAGGACACAGAGCTGCCTGCCAAACCCTTTGTAATCACTCTTCCTGCTCCACAGCTCCCACAAGGACACAGGGCTGTACATCTGCTCTGAGCAGACCACATCTGAAGGAAACGCAGCGCCCCGACCTCTCTTCCCACTCATAAACATAAACTCACACCCACGTGGCAACAGCCACAACTGCTCAGTCTGGGAAAGCAGCATTAAAAGAGGGCTGGGGGTATTTTTAACCTCTTTTCCATGTGATTTAGCAGCTGGCTGCAGTGAGAAAAGCCTCCCTCAGCACTGAGCATCCCCACAGCAGCAGGGAATCACCCGCTCCCCAAGCTGTGAGGTTGGGATTTTGGGACCAAGCAAATCCTGAGCTGGAGTGTTTGTGGCTTAACATCCAAGGCTGGATGCAAACCAGCTACTCGGGGAGTTTCCAAAAGGAAATGAACACCTGAGGGAGAAAAGCCTCCACCCAACAGAGCACAGACTTCCCAAGGAAAAGCATGTGGAGTTTGGATTCCCAGACCCCCCACATTTCCCAGAGCATGCCAAGATCTCCTCTGTGTTACCTGTGGTTTGCTTCAGGAGAGCTTGTCCATTTCTAATGGCTTGGTCCACGTTCTTCTTCCTATTCACAATTTCCTCATTCAGAGCCTGAAGAAAAAGGCAAATTTGGGTTATCCTGCTGCAGGCAGGTCCAGGTGTCCTGCCAGCCAGAGATGCTGTGGGGAGCATGGATTTCCCTACTGAGCACAGGCAGGCTGGACAACCCATCTGAAAACTGTCCAGTGGGAATTATTGGGATTTTTTGGGACTCAAAGGCCCAAATCTCAGAGCAAACCCAACCCAACCCATTGGATCTCCAAAGGACTCGCCCTTGTATTAGAACCTCACTCTTGAAAAGAGTCTGCACAGCCCCAGGGAGCGGATGCAGAGGCTTCCTCAGTGGCCAGCCCAGCTCCAAAAACCCACCAGACTTTCCCAGCTCTCTGTTTTGGAAACAGCATCCAGCTTTCTGAAGGCACAGGGTGGCCAAGCTGGCTCAGACACTGTTCACAAATCAAACGAACCATTTGAAGTTCCCCCGCCTCAAAAAAGCCATTTTTTGGGAGTGGGGGCCCACAATTGTTGTTTATAACACATAAAATCTCTTTACACTCCTCTCCAAGCCTCACAGAGCCCCAGCAGCAGAACGAGCTTCGCAAAATTAAAACCAGGCCAGAAACATAAACAAAACCAGATAAAATGCAACAAAACAAACAACGCAAACATGGAATTAAAAGAACAAACCAAAACCAAAAAAAAAAGGGGAAATACCAGCTGGTCGGCATGCTGCTTCTGCAGGACGTCCCGTTTGTAATCCTTTATGGACACTGAGCCCAGCTTGTCCTCCACCTCAGCCAGCCAGTTGAGCACTTCCACCTCCTCCTCCCCAAAAATCCTGGCGTTGGCCAGAGCCTGGTCCAGCAGTGCTGCCTTGCGGCCGCACCGCTCGCGGACCTCACCGTAGCGGCTCTGCAGAGCCTCTAATTTCTCTGCCAGCAGCCTCTGCTCAGCAGCACAGCTCAGGGAGGACAGCGAGTGCCCGACCCCCAGCGCCCGAGACACGTTGGTGGCGTGGCTCTCTATCTCTTCCTCGAGAGCCTGAATGGTGGAGGGTAGAAGGGACAACAGAAAGGGGTGGGGGGGGAAAAAAAAATAAAAAAAAAAAATGAGCGGAGAATGAGGGAAATGAAAGAAATGCAACGTAAAAGGGGGAACGCAACGGTGAACGTAACTGAAAAATGGAGGAGACATAAAAGCCACCCGTGAACGGGCAAACTGAGTGGAAATTTAAAAGAAACACACGGATGGGAATGGTTTTTTTTCTCTATCCAAACCTGCTGGGAGGTGCAAGGACATCGGTTTAATGTTTACCCACGCGGATGGGTCAAGGCTTGCAGCCTTCTCTGTACATAAAACAGCCTGGATAACTCCTCCAGTCCTTGTTTGTGCCAAAAACCTCTCTGGTTGTGGTGGAAACAACCACTGGAGCGGGGCCTGACTCCAACCACCTCCATCCTGCTCCTGCACAGGTCCTACCTTGTGGCGGCTGATCTGCTGCTGGATTTTGGCAGTCTGGGTACCAATGGGCTCAGAGTTGGCCAGTTTCTTCTCTGTCACCGACAGCCAGTCGGACACGGGCTCCGTGGTTTCATGGAACTGCTTTGCCAGCACCAAGATATCCTCCAGCTGCTTCTGCCTATAAAAAGTAATCATGAAAATTAGAAGGAAATAATTGCTCAAGGACAGGTTGGACGCGGCCCTGAGCGTCCTGGTCTGGTGGAAGGTGTCCCTGCTCTCAGCAGGGGGCTGGAACAAGATGCTTTTTCAGGTCCCCTCCAACCAAAAGCAGTCTGATTCTTAGAATCAATGAAAACACTAAGAAGCAGCTCCCAGTTGGAGCCAGGCATGGGAAGCAGCTTCAGGTATTTGGAAGAAGCAGCTCTGTTCAGAGCAAGGTGAGACACCATTGTCAGGCAAGCTACAATGGCAAAGATAAAAATCAATGTGAAGGAGCTGCAAAATAAGCTTTTCCTGCAGCTGTGCCTTTAGTTTATTGCCCTGTGAAGGTAGCAGAAGGGCTTCCCCATTGTGCAGCTTTTCATGAAAGAGTTTGAGATGGAAAGGACCTTAAAGATCACTTAGCTCCATTTGTTCCATCCCTATCACTCTCTTGCAGATCCCTCAGCTTGTGGCCAGGCTCTTGGTCTTTCAGAGCTTCTGGTTAAAGACAATCCTGGATGGACAACCCTGGATGGACAGTACAGCTTGCTGGCAATGATTAAAAACACGGAGAAAGGTCCAATCTGGCCTCAGAAGTGACTCCACAACCTTAAACATCAGCTTAGGTGGAAATAAGTAACTCATAAACAAGATTCTGGCAGCGCAAAGGTGTCAACAGGATGTTGCTAAACGTTAAAGCTTACAGGAATAAAAATAACATCCCTCCCCTGCAGGGAAATTATTTAATCTCAGCTCTTCCCTGCCATTGTCAACCACTGCTATCAGCACCAGCTCCCAGCCAGCCTTTGATTCCTCATGTTTTCCAGCTGTTTCCAGGATGTATCTGCACCGAGATCTCCGCCAGCTTCCCCAGCGCTGTCACCCCGACTTCAGGGGCACCACAACCGCTGGGATGAGCTGGTCCCAGTGCCTCTCACCTGGCAGCTGCCCTGCCCAGCAGCCCTTCCCAGCGCCGTGCCAGGCTCTCCAGCTGCCCCACGATCTTGTCCCGGTCCGCGGGCTCGGCCGCCTGCGCGATCCTGTCGCCCTCAGCCTGGATCATCTCCACCGTGGCTTTGCGATCGTCCAGGAGGCGCTGGAGCAGCTGGGGGGAGGCAAAGGAACGGGGGGAGTCACCAGATTGGGGCAGCAGAACCACAGCCAGCCCTTGGAGGGGTCAGATCCAGAACCACAGCCAGCCCATGGAGGGGTCAGATCCAGAACCACAGCCAGGCTTGGAGGGGTCAGATCCAGAACCACAGCCAGGCTTGGAGGGGTCAGATCCAGAACCACAGCCAGCCCCTGGAGGGGTCAGATCCAGAACCACAGCC